AACATAAGAAAGACATACATACTCAGGTATGGTTAGGTCAGAGATCATCAAATAGATGAAACCCAAATAAAACTATCACAAGGTATATAATAACCAAACTTTCAAGGTCAAGGGCAAAAAGAAAAGCCACAAGAAAAAAGAAACAAATAATACATAAAGGAGCTTCAATTTGTCCGACAATAGACTTCTCAACAGAAACTCTACAGGCCAGGATGACATATCCAAAGTACTGGGGTGGGGGATTGGGGGCGGGTACCAACCTGTCCACCAAAAATTCTATATCCCACAAAAACTACCTTATACCAGACCACAACCCCTCCCCCAAAAAAGAAAAAGCTCACAGAATTCATCACCACCAGACCCATCCTACAAGAAATACTAAAGAGAACTGCTCAATCTGAAAGAAAAAACAACACTAACTTGCAAAAAGAAAACATCTAAAAGTATAAAACCCACTGGAAAAAATAAGTAAACAGACAAACTCAGAATACTCTATCACTGGAATTGTGGTACACAATCCACTCATAATTCTACCATGAAGACTGAAAGACAAAGCTATCAAAAATAATAATAGCCATAGCAGCCTGTTAAGAGATAGGCAATATAAAAATATATTAATTGAGACAACAAAAAAGCTTCAAAATCTGGAAGGGATGGAGTTAAACTGTAGAGTCTTTTTAGTTTTTCCTGTTTGTTTGCTTGTTTCTATTCTTTTCTTTATGATCAAAGATAAGTTATCATCTCTTTAAAATAACTTGTTGTAAGACTTTTTTTCTAAATTTCAACCACAAAGCAAAAACCTGTAATAAATATACTAAAAATAAAAAGAAACACATTAAAACATACTACCAGAGAAAATCACTTAACCACAAAAGAAGACAGGAGAAAAGGAAGAGAGGAATTACAAAATAACCAGAAGACAAGTAACAAAATGGCAATAGTAAGTCTTTACCTATCAATAGTAGCATTGAATGAAATGAACTAAATTATCCAATTAAAAGAATAGTGTGGCTGAATGGATGAACAACTATATGCTACCTATAAGAAATTCACCTCATCTATAAAGATACACATAGACTGAAGGTAAAGATATTGAAAAAGATATTCCATGCAAACAGAAACCAAAAAAGAGTAGAAGTAGCTATGCTTATATAAGATAGACTACAAGTCAAAGACTGTAGAAGAACCAGAGAAGGTCACTATAGAATGATAATGCAGTCATTCTGCCAATAGGATAAAACAATTTTAAATATCTGTGCACCCAACACAGGAGCACCCAAGTATATAAAGCAAACACTAATGTATCTAATGGGAGAGATAGACTGCAATATAATAACAGTAGGGGACTTCAACACCCCACTCTCAGTAATAGACAGATCACCCACCCAGAAAATCAACAAAGAAACATCAGAGTTAAACTCTACACTACACTACAGATATGAGCCTAACTAGCATTTACAGAACATTTCATCCAGCTGCTGCAGAATATACTTTCTTCTCATCAGCACATGGAACATTCTCCAGAACGAACCATATGCTAGGCCACCAAACAAGTCTCAAAATTTTTTTTAAAAGGTGAAATTATATTAAGTATCTTTTCTGACCACAATGGAATAAAACTGGAAATTCATAATAAGAGGCATATTAGAAACTACACAAACATATGGAAATTAAACAACATGTTCCTGAATGGTTAATGGGTCAATAAAGAAATTAAGAAGGGAA